CTCTCTCTCTCTCTCTCTCTCTCTCTCTCTCCCCCCCCCTCCCTTTCAACCCCCCCTCCGGTGGACACATGTTCCCGCATTTTCCATGCGCTCCAAGATCTCATTTGTAGATTTATGTGCCTTCCTTCAACATTTCAGTAACCTCTCTCTCTCTCTCTCCCGTCCGGATACACATGTTCCCGCCATTTCCATGCGCTGCAAGATCTCATTTGTAGATTTATGCGTTTCATCCTTGAGCAGGGGCCAAGCTAATTTTCTGTCTGTGTACCGTTCCAATTTTAATTGATGTCCCGAGAGATCAAGATCTCTCCTCTCAGCACCACCGGTTTGGCTGTCAGTGATTTCGCGCTGTGCAATTCTCTCTCACGACCACCTCCTCTCCAATACTCTCGTCCTCTCCTCTTATCCACTTTCATCTGCCAGGTTCAAACACCGTTCCTCATCTCCATCCTCTCCGTTTTCGCGCGTCGCTCCCAACCTTCCCTCCCCCCCCGCTTTCCTCAGCAATGTTCCCCTAGCTCGTTCGTCTTCCCTTCACTCTCTGACTCCCTCTTTCTCCATTCTTCATCTTTCTCTACTTTCCTCCCCTCTCTACAATTCCAGTCTCTCATTCGCTCATCCTCCCCCCTCCCTTCTCTCGCTCTCCTTCCAGGCATCTGGCCCCTCGCTCTTCCTCGCCTACTTTCCTCAGATCCACCCCCAGCCACCACACCCACTTCGCTCCCCCACTTCATACCAAGCGAGAGAACATACTCTCCTCCTTTTCTTCCCACCTCAGACTCTTCAATCCACCAACAGCAGCGGTGGATGGAGGACGGGCCGACATGCTGCGTAGGGGATACAGCGGCAGCAGCAGCCAAAGGAGGAGATGAAGAGAGAATGTCCCGCTCTCACTCGAGCCGTCCTCGAAGAAGAACGGTTCCAGACATACACGCTGTCCAGGTGCAGATGCGACAGACACCTGCAGTCACGCCCCGCTTCCCTAAACCTTCACTTCTTATCCCTACTCCGTTCACGTCAGCCGGAGAAGATATTGGGACACCAGACGACGAGGAACAAGAACCACAACAACGGGGGATTTTGCACTGCTTTCTACTCCTCTCTCCTGCCTCCCCATGGTCTCCGACTCTCCACCAACTTCAGTGCCCAGATATTCCTCCTCCATCCATAACGGAGCAGGATGTCAGATGTCAGATGTCAGATATCAGACGCTGCAGCCGGTACCTGATCTATTGTTCGCGTTTCCTCTCCCAACCCTGATTCATGACCGAGGAGGATATCGCCGCAGAGACAGCGGCCACTGCCTCACCTCTACTTCGCGCTTCCTCTCCCTCTCTCTCTCTCTCGCTAGTAGTTAAAGTCTATCCAATAGTTATCGTAGTTAATAGCATTGTAGCATCGACTATATACTCCCCTACCGCCTATCTTTTCTCCTCCTTTCCCGCCTCTCTTTGTCTTCGTTCTTCTGCAACAACACGATCAACAGGCGGACGAAGATGGCCACGAAATCGACGAACAGGTCGAGAGCGTGGGTGATGTAATCCGTGTCACCTCCCGCCGCCTTCTCGATGATAAGCTGCGTATCGAACAGAATGAAGCCGCAGAAAATCAGCAGACCAACATATACTTCCAGATTGAACACGAACCTGGATGCCCCGAACAACCATCCGGCGAGGGTCATGGTGAACATCATGCTCAAAGCTGAAGACAGCACACCACCAAGGTACAAGAAGGACCGCCGTGACGCCATAGCCGCGCTAGCAGAGAAGCAGACGAAGACCGCCAGTGCTCCTGCAAAAGCCACGCCTACGATTGACGGGTCGACGTGTAGGACATACTCCACAAGCTCACCAAGCGAACAGCCTTGTAAGAACCCGCAGCCCATCAAGATCGACCATCTCTTTCCTTCCTCTTCGCGAGGGGTCAAAGCTAAGGCTATGGTGCAGCCTATGAACCCTAGATGGGTCGACAGCCCGCCTAAGCCATACAAAATGTGCGCGTACGCTCCAGCCGCAGCGAAAAGTACCACGAGCGCCAAAGTCTGGTACACACGCCTTAAGTGCCCCTGAATCTTCGGCGACAGGTGATTGAACTGGAACAGAGCTGCATAGTTGATCGACTCCAACCGCGTTCCGGAAAACGTCGCCATCTCTCTCTCTCTCTCTCTCTCTCTCTCTCTCTCTCTCTCTCTCTCTCTCCCCCTCTCTCTGTCTCTCACACTCTCAGACACTGACACAGAGACACCGTGCCACACCCAGACCGACATAGCTACCAGCTCCTGATTAAGCGCCTTCCTTCCTCGCTCTCTCGCTCCCTACCACCTGTTCACGATCACCACCGCGAATCCTCGTCAGCTAGACTGCACGAGATATACGTTTGACTGCGCGCCAACTCGCTTTCGCGCCGCTGCAGTCCACACAGTTTGAGTCCCGTCCCTCGCTAATCTCCGCTCCGATGGCCTTCGACGAAGTTCTGACCACCAGTAGTCCTTCACTCCTGTAAATCTCGAGGATGATACCGTTATAGGTCCGCTACTGCACACAGCCTCGAACGGTGGTAAGGTGAGGCTCGTCGCACTTCACACCACTCCGCTCCTACTCGTTGCGATCAATCACCATCACACATCGTTCTCACGTTTCGTTCGAAATGTTTCGCCTCCGCGCACTCACTACTTCATCATTTATCACTACACTGCTGCTTCCGCTCTCGCTGGCTTATGACTCCTCCCGCGCTACCTCTCGCGTGCAGTGCACCTTCCCTACTCTTCACAATGGGCGCTCTTCGTCGCTTCTGGAACACCTGGGACCAAGTCCCAATTACACTGCTGCTTCGTTTCTGGCCGTCGATCTTCGTAATCTACGGTCAGACACTGAGAATTTGGGTATCCACGCTTTTTGCGGGTTCCCGCGGGGGCTGAATTGCCAAATCGAAGTCTACCTTCGGTCCCTTCGCGCGCGTTCCTAGCTCCTTCGCTCTCCCTCTCGACTCGATGGCTTGATGGTGTACACGGCATCCACCTGTCGATCCCCTCGCTCCGTTGGTCGTTCCAGCGCACCACTACCCGTAGCTGGATCTTGGCCCTTCATAATCGTAATCGACGGTCAGCAATGGAGAATCTGGGTAAGTGGGAGGCCGCACTGCAAGAGCCCCCAAGGGTTTTTTTTTTTTTGTTCCTTTTTTTCTTTTTTGCTTCCCCAAGTGTCCCCGTGTGGACTCTTCCAGAAGCCGCTAGAGGACCTTACCTCGTCAAACTCGAAACGTCACGTGTGGAGGTAATAACCGTTGTTGTTGTTTTTGTGGTGTAGCCAGTTCTAATATCAAGTGTGGAGGTACCGGACCAACATCTCCGGTTTGGACTGGTTCAAGATGGACCTGGCTTTGCAAGTGTTCGCAGCCAGTAGGTTTCATCGACTTAGGGCCTCGCCACACCACTCTTGAAACCTGGTTTTCAAGAGTTGGAGCCGTCGCCACACAGCCACTTGAGAGTTGTGGCCCGAAAACTCTTTCGANCACACACACACACACACACACACACACACACACGCACACACACACACACACAGCAACCAGCTCTTGATTAAGCGCCTTCCTTCCTCGCTCTCTCGCTCCCTACCACCTGTTCACGATCACCACCGCGAATCCTCGTCAGCTAGACTGCACGAGATATACGTTTGACTGCGCGCCAACTCGCTTTCGCGCCGCTGCAGTCCACACAGTTTGAGTCCCGTCCCTCGCTAATCTCCGCTCCGATGGCCTTCGACGAAGTTCTGACCACCAGTAGTCCTTCACTCCTGTAAATCTCGAGGATGATACCGTTATAGGTCCGCTACTGCACACAGCCTCGAACGGTGGTAAGGTGAGGCTCGTCGCACTTCACACCACTCCGCTCCTACTCGTTGCGATCAATCACCATCACACATCGTTCTCACGTTTCGTTCGAAATGTTTCGCCTCCGCGCACTCACTACTTCATCATTTATCACTACACTGCTGCTTCCGCTCTCGCTGGCTTATGACTCCTCCCGCGCTACCTCTCGCGTGCAGTGCACCTTCCCTACTCTTCACAATGGGCGCTCTTCGTCGCTTCTGGAACACCTGGGACCAAGTCCCAATTACACTGCTGCTTCGTTTCTGGCCGTCGATCTTCGTAATCTACGGTCAGACACTGAGAATTTGGGTATCCACGCTTTTTGCGGGTTCCCGCGGGGGCTGAATTGCCAAATCGAAGTCTACCTTCGGTCCCTTCGCGCGCGTTCCTAGCTCCTTCGCTCTCCCTCTCGACTCGATGGCTTGATGGTGTACACGGCATCCACCTGTCGATCCCCTCGCTCCGTTGGTCGTTCCAGCGCACCACTACCCGTAGCTGGATCTTGGCCCTTCATAATCGTAATCGACGGTCAGCAATGGAGAATCTGGGTAAGTGGGAGGCCGCACTGCAAGAGCCCCCAAGGGTTTTTTTTTTTTTGTTCCTTTTTTTCTTTTTTGCTTCCCCAAGTGTCCCCGTGTGGACTCTTCCAGAAGCCGCTAGAGGACCTTACCTCGTCAAACTCGAAACGTCACGTGTGGAGGTAATAACCGTTGTTGTTGTTTTTGTGGTGTAGCCAGTTCTAATATCAAGTGTGGAGGTACCGGACCAACATCTCCGGTTTGGACTGGTTCAAGATGGACCTGGCTTTGCAAGTGTTCGCAGCCAGTAGGTTTCATCGACTTAGGGCCTCGCCACACCACTCTTGAAACCTGGTTTTCAAGAGTTGGAGCCGTCGCCACACAGCCACTTGAGAGTTGTGGCCCGAAAACTCTTTCGAGAGTTGTCAGAACCTCGTTTCGAGAGTAGCTCTCGAAACTCCTAAACGCCCAGCCTGCAGCACCGCGCTTTTCAAGCTTCCTCCCGAGGGCACTCCAAGGACTCTCGATTTTCGAGAGCTGTCGGGCCGTTATCCTGACTCCATTCGGAAAAAACAAAGCTGCACGACTGTCGTTTTCCATCGTTTGTCCAACACCATCACGCTTTCGAGAGTGCTGTGTGGCGAGGGGCCCGGAACTCTTGAAAACCCAATTGACTTACCGTGAGGGCACGGGTGCGCAGCCCGTAGTTCGTTTGTTTATGTGGTTCGGGAAGGGTAAGGTATTGATTATGCTGTATGTATGTTTTGTCATGTTCGCTCTACACAACTCGAAGAGTGTGTGTGTGTGTGGTGCTGGTTGGTGCTTTATTCACGATGTTCATGGGACGCTAGACCTAGTTTCCAGCAGGTGGCGCTCCCCATCAATAGACAAGAGAACGTATATGTGTGTGTATGTGAGTGTGTGTATGTGAGTGTGTGAATGTGTGTGTGTGTGTGTGTGTGTGTGTGTGTGTGAGAGAGAGAGAGAGAGAGAGAGTGAGAGAGAGAGAGAGAGAGTGTGTGAGAGAGAGAGAGCATGTGTGCGTGTGCGCGCGTGTGTGTGTGTGTGTGTGTGAGAGAGAGAGAGAGAGAGACCTGCAGCATGCAACATGTCAGTGGCGGGGCGCAAGAGGGCAGGCGCTGACCTCCAACAAAAAGAAGAAGTAATTTTATCGGAATACAAGAGTTTTTCTTTTCGAAATCCGAATAGAATAGAAAGGGTACAGGATGTATTCGAATACAACCTGTACATTTTCTATTTGAGGAAACTGTGGTATTCGAGAAAAGTGCACCCGCACCGTTTCAATTTCGAAAAAGGCTTCAGGACCGCGGCCTCCTCAGCCTCCTCCGCGCAGCTACCGGTCCTACGCGGTCCTGGCTCTTGCAAGGCCCCAAAACCTCAAAATGCCCTTACTCCCGACGACCACGAAGTTGAAATGATGTTGAACGTTGAAATGTCTCAGGGGGGGGGAACGCATCCCTGACGGGCTACGAATTTAAAAAAAGGACTACCCGCACCGTTTCAATTTCGAAAAAGGATTGCGGCCCCCTCGGCCTCCTACTCATAGCTACCGGTCCTACGCGTTCCTGGCCCTTGCAAGGCCCCAAAACCTCAAATGCCCACCCTCCCGACGATCGATCGAGAGAGAGAGAGAGAGAGAGAGAGAGAGAGAGAGAGAGACCTGCAGCATGCAACATGTCAGTGGCGGGGCGCAAGAGGGCAGGCGCTGACCTCCAACAAAAAGAAGTAATTTTATCGGAATACAATAGTTTTTTTTTTCGAAATCTGAATAGAATAGAAAGGGTACAGGTTGTATTCGAATACAGCCTGTACATTTTCTATTCAAGGAAACTGTGGTATTCAAGAAAAGTGCACCCGCACCGTTTCAATTTTGAAAAAGGCTTCAGGACCGCGGCCTCCCCAGCCTCCTCCGCGCAGCTACCGGTCCTACGCGGTCCTGGCCCTTGCAAGGCCCCAAAACCTCAAAATGCCCACCCTCCCGACGACCACGACGTTGAA